TATGGATTGGGTTCAAGGAATGACAGAGGGAGCAAACTGGTGCAGAAGCCATAATCTAATGACTGCAAGCACCTGGTTTCAAAACCACCAAAGAATACTGTGGACATGGAAAATTCCAGGAGACTGCACCAGACTGATTTTATTCTTATCAATGAACATTTCAAAAATCTATTAAATATGTTAAAACAGCCCCAGGTGCACATTGTGGAAGTGACAATGTTCCAGTACTTTGTAAAATAAAGACTAAGATGAAGAAAGTTTTGAAGTTGGAGCAGAAACCAAAACACCAAATTCATTTACTCAAATCAGATCCCAAGATGATAGAAAAATACATGGTTATCATAAAGAACAAGTTCAGCTCCCTAGCAGATATAATGGATTTCGATTGCCTGTGAGAACAACTGAAAAAAATCTATTATAGAAACAACAGAAGAAATTATCTCCAAACAAGTAAAAACAAATGGATGACACAAGACATTCTAGACATCATAGAAACTATAAGATTAGCAAAACAAGACCCAGAGATGTATAACAGATTAGACAAGGAATTCAAAAAGAAATGTACTGAATCAAATTAAATATGGCTGCATCAACAATGCCAAGAAATAGAGAATAATTGGAAAGTAAATAGAAAGTTATGTCCAGGAAAATATTAATGAAGTAACTGGGAAAACAGTGTTCCAATAGTGGATGCTAAAAGCAAAAGATGGCACCATCTTCATGGCTGTTGTTTCTTATTAAGCACAAAGCTACAAAAAGTGCTATCAGTGCTCTGCTCACCACTACATCTTAATGGAGAAAGAAGACATATTAAATGGATGGTATGACTACACAAAAAAGTTTCTTGAGGACAATAGTGATGACAATCCAGAAATAAAAACAGAATATTGATGGACCACCCATCTTAAAAGATGAAGTGAGACATGCAATTAGAAAAATAAGACGGAAAGGCAATAGGCCCAGATAGAATATCTATTGAAACGATCCAAGCTTTGGATGAATTTGGAATATATATATGACAACAATTTTGATAAATAAAATATATGAAGTGTTGAAATACCCATAGATTTGATCAGATCAGTCTTTGTTGCCTTACCAAAGAAACCTGGAGCGAGTGAATGCAAATTAAACCATATGATCAGTCTAATTAGTCATATGATTAAGATTATTCTCTTAATCCTCATGATGAGAGCATAAAATAAGATAAGACCAGAAATAGCTGTCAAACAAAATGGTTTTGTTGAGGATCAAGGAACTAGGAATGTCATATTTATTCTTCAAATGCTTCTAGAAAGAGCAGTTGAGGTTAAAAGAGACTTTTGGTAAAGTGAAACATGATGAATTGTTTCGTTTACAGCAAAGATCTTCATATGATCAGAAATCTATGTTGGGATCAAACAGCAGCAATGAGAATAGATGCTGAATTAAGTGACTTCAAAAATCAAAAGGATTTTTTTTATCACCTGCTTTATTAAACATCTACAATGAAAATATCTCATGTCACATTGAACACATAAATGGCATATATATATAGAGGTGGATACAATTTGAACAATCTCAAAAATGCACATGACAGTTTAAATAGCAGGATCAGAATCAGATCTGCAACAACTCTTGGACAGTGTGTTTCTTGTGAGGTCAATGGTTTATCTCTCAATGTGAAAAAGACTGAATGCATGGCCATTTCAAAGAAAAGAAACATACCATCCTGTAATATACAAACCAATGAAGATAAAATAAAACAAGTGAACAAATTTAAATATCTAAACCTTACCATAACAACAGATGGACAATAAAAAGATGAAATAAAGAAAAGAACAGGAATGGCAAGACATGCTTTCCTAAAAATAAGTCAAATACTGAAGAACATTTCTATGACCACTAAAACTCAAGTTCTCAAATGTTATGTTTGGTCTATCCTACTATATGGATGCAAGTGTTGGATGGTAACGAAAGCAGTTATGAAGTTACAGACCATTGAAATATGGTTTTGGAAAAGAATACTCAAGATAGCATAGACTGAAAAAGTTACAAATGAAAAAGTGCTAAAAAGAACAAAAGTAAAGAAATCTCATAAAAAATCATCAGAAAGTGACAGTTAAAATTCCTAGAGCATGTCATCTCTGAAGAAGGTTTAGAATTCCAAATATTGACAGGAAAGATTAGGGGAAATGAGACAGAGAAAAGCAAAGAACAAAGTACATTACTAACCTGAGGAAGTGGATTGACAACCCAGCTTGAAATAAAGAAAGATGGAGAGCCACTATCAGCAATGTCTTCTCATAGACAAGGCAGAACATACAGGTAATTAAAACTAGGGCATTTGTTAAGATGGACTTTTAAGATGGAGAAAGAAGGGAAAGATGATGACATGATGGCTACTTCAAACAAGAGACTATAATGACTAGAGGAAGCCTGAACATTTCTAAAAGGAGTACTTCTGAAATGGACACAACAAAAGACTTAAATACTAATTTCTAAACTGGAATACAAATGTATGTCATATTCATACAGTTAATTTAAACACAATAAATGCTTTTTAAATACCTCATTATAAAAAAAAAAATAAATAAATCATATTTTACACTTTTAGGCATCTACATTTTACCATAACACATAATCAAAGAACAAGGTTTTATTTTTATCACTGCTGCTAGCTATTTTAAAGTGATGCAGCATAAATTAGTATTGTGAAAGGAAGCTGTTACTCCTACTCTAGTTAATGCCTTAACTTATAACTCCTAAGCACAAATGATTAAACAATAACATTTCATGCTACTTATGATTTATCACACAAAAAGTAACTTGTATTTCAAAACTGCAACTTGCAATTTAATATAAAAACATATATATATATATAAACATATATATAGTGCAGTTACAATACAATTTAAAAAACTCAATAGTAAAAAATTGTTTCTTTCTTATAAAACTGTTTTCTCTTCAGTTAGTGATATTCTTCAACAATTAGCCTAGAACAGCAACAGATTAAATTCCAAGCCTAAATACATTTTAACTCACAGAAGTATTGCTTGCTAGATCAAGAAAAACCATGTGCTCTTAATTTTCAACTCCTTACATGCTAATTATTTCCAAATATCACATAAAATAATAATAGCATAGTGAATGATGACCATGATAAAGGAACTACAGTCAAATGTTAGTACTCTACATTGGATAAAAAAAATATTCAAAAATGGCTAACAACAATATATGTTAACTTTGTATATGGGCTCTGTCATTTTGGCCAAAATGACCAACACTGCAGCCACCATGTAACCACAAAGCTATACATAACTCTGAACGTACTACATCAATCTTCACAAAATTTGGCAATCTTTTAGTAAACATTACAAATCTGTTGTATGAAAAAAAATCAGATCATTTAATAAGGTATTTTTACAAAAGATTTGTCTGTGAATTTATGAAGCCTTTACCGAGTCAGTCCGAGTGAAAGATGATTTTTATGCTAAGAATAAAAATACTTCTATTCATTTTACAGTTTTCATATTCATAAACATAACCTCTAGACTACAGCCTCCTAAATGAATATCAAATTATTTTTTGGAAAGTGTCATACTTTACCTTTTATTGTCTCTATCCTAACACTAACTGTAGCAAAAGTTGAAAAATATCAAAACAATTTTTTTTTTCTATAACAATTGCAGATTGTAACAGACTCAGGTTATAACAGTTTCATACTTGCTTTCATTTAATTATATCTTTGAACTATGTTTAACTAGCAATACATCACCAGGAAAAAGCTTAGTGTAAACAAACTATCGAGTTACATAATGCTTACACTACACAATGGTAGCTCTTGTGCATTCTTGAAGAATAAATTTTTTTATTTAATTTATTTTTCCATTCACATTTTCTCATCTAACCAAACAAGTTTCTAACATTTGCATTTTGGTTAATTTTGTTAAAAATACATAAGAATATATATATAAAAAAACCAAGAAATTTAGCACTTCAACCTTGAGGCCCTATTTTGGTTGTCTAAAAATAGTTCATTTAACTTTCAAATACGCATTTCAAAACACAAAAAATTTATTAGGCACAAGAATAAAATGTCCTAGAACTACTATAACTTATTTGGATTTCTAACTAAACTAACCTGTAGATAAGTTTAAAATATGTCATTACTGCTTGGAGTAATTACTCTTTAGTCTCAACACATGAGGCCCTCCTAACAACTATCTGCTTTAAACACTAAAATAAAATAGACAATCATCTTCTTAGTTTATAATATGCTCTTTGTATTGGTTATAAACACGTCCAATAGCATTATAGAATTATAGACACTTCTTGAAAAACAGAGTATGTGGGAAAGGTGTGTCCGTGTCAGTTAAACCAAAATAGCAATATCTTAATAAAATAAAAAGTGGTTGAAATTCTATATTCTGAATTCTCAATATTTACAATATGTGTTTCTAATTGCTTGAACAATCTGAAGCTCTTCCAAGGGAAGAGAAAAAAATCTATAAGTGAGAAGTCACTGTACCATGTGACTGAGAGATACAAATTGAAATTAAAACTTTAATCACATTTTGATGCTAAGTTTATCAATACACATTGATAATAAAGTCATAGCACCAGTACTACACCACTGTGCCACATAACACAGAGGGGGTACAGACTGAAATTAATAAATGAAAATATAAATTATATTTTGATGCTAAGTTTATTAATGTACATTGATAATAAAGTAGTTTAATTAAATTTTTAGTGTAACTTTGTAAAAAGGTCTTCACATGCACTTTGTACCACCTTTATCCAGAGTTAATAAAGTTTCAAATTTATGATAAACTTCATATTTTTTTTGACATATGCATCATAAAGTTACATGCCTTTTCAGAAAAAGCATTTATTTCACACACATTTCAGGAACAAATTTTAATACTAAGATCCAACATGTTAAGTTCTCATTCAATATGTTATTTAGAGACAAACTATATATACTAAGTCCAAGATTATAAACTCATTTTCTTACTAACCACACAAAAGGAACACTGGCTGGTCCATCTTCTGCCATGGGAAACCGATTCTGCAAGCTCAACAGCTGAGAGTAGTACCTCTTCAAGGTGCTGCACCCTGTGAAGTCCCTTGGCACTTTACATGCTGACTGAAGAACAAAAAAAAAAAACATTACACATATAAATATTAATTTTATCAATTGTTCAAATCAGAGAAGAGTTCCCAGTGTTAACATCTTCCAACATTGAAAATGTATTTCCAATTAATACTTGCTTCTTCTTACATATAGCTTTCTTGATTCAGTGTTGCCTTTTATAAGTGAACTTGTTTCACTTGGCACAAGCCTTGAGGCTCCCATATAAACTCATGTGATTCCATGCGATATATTGCATTGTTGCATGCAAGTGAGCATGCGACAACCCTCCACCAATAGGAGTGTGACACACCCTCCGACCACAGCCGTCTCCCTTTATATGAATTGTCCAATCATCACTTCTAGATTAGGCAAGAAAATAAGATGAAATGAAAGTAGGTGGGAAATATGGGAAGTAAATACATTTTCATTGTTGAAAAGTGTTAACTTGCAATATGATACATAAACTCTACTCACATACAGCTAGAATCACATGTTGAAGTGGTGGAAGAACCTAGATTAGCCCCCTTTGGGAAGCACCCGAAGAGAACCCATGGAGTGCAACACCTTATATCATGAAACAGTATAGGGTTACATCTGGGAGAAACCATACCTCGTTTGTATCAGGATATACTCGTTGCTCATAAAATAAAGAAAAGGGAAGTGTCACAAGGACAGGTAAAAAATACAAGCACAGTCCAGAACCTGCATTATGCTACTGAAAGTGCTAAGTTTGTACTATGGCTAGGGCTCATGAGACCAAACATGATATGCCAACTCCAGTCCAAAACCAGGCAGCACTAGGAATTTGGTTTCTGGGCTGTGGTAGGAGGAAGATCCCTACCATCTTCACCTCAAGCCCAGCAAGGCTAATCTGCAACTGAATGAGGACTCATGTTAGCTAGTCCTGCACTAATCCAACACCAGACCACCTGGGAACCAAACATCTGGATAGTGGTATGATGGGAGAAAGTTGACCAGAGAGGTGAACTGTAACACAGGGATGGAACACAGTCACTCTTCTCTCTACTGAGTGTAATTGGTCACACTCAGGAGGCAGCCGTCATGGTCCACCATCCCAGTGGTAAGAAATCCCATGTGTGAAAGTATGTTGGAGAGCCTGGAGGAATGCATCACCACAAGACAGAGCAATGAGAAATACAAAACTTGTATTTTTAAAATTAGGCCACTACTAGGTTTTAAAATAAGCATAGAGGATGTGAGAAGATCCCCTGATAGTCCATGACTGAGTATGATTTGGATCAGGCCTTGTTTAAGAGAATGAACACCTCGAGGATACCTCAAGCAGCCTTGTGGAACACCCCATCTCATTAGTGAGCACTATATCAGGCCTTCATGGCCCTACATTGTGCAGATTTTTGGAAAAGTATACCCACTTGCCAATAAGGTGGAACCAGTAAGGCATGAGAGGGACCTGTAAAAGGAAAATAAAGAGAGAGAACTTACCCAGTAAAAGGTGTGGAGAATAATGACCAGAGGTAGTCTACAGCCCAATGAAGAAGGAACAGCAAAAATAATGGAGAAAGTATGTGCCAAAGGTGTGAACTGTTGTCCAATTGCAAGTGTGAACAATCTCCTATAAAAGATGATTGAAGTGAGCAGAATTGGTACAGTGTCAAATCTGATTTAAAGGCACCCAGAAGCACTGATGTACATTCCCATCCAATGAAGAATATGCTAAACAAATGAATTGACAAAGCCATCTAGTAATAATAATGGGAGAAAGATTGCAAGTAGAAGAAGGATTCAAAGGAGTGAAGAGACAAGACCACGAACCATAAAAGAAGTGTACGCCAAATAACAATGGACCTCAAAGACAGGGAAGAGGAGGGAATCAGGATCCAAGTGAGAATAAAGATGAGAAATGGAAGGGAGAAATATAGGTGTAAATGCTCTGACACCCTCACATGCCACAGATTTTTTAGGAAGAAAAGCAAGATTAGGGTAGAGAAGGACATAGGAACGATGAAAAAAGAATCAATGGCATACACATCAGAATGTCAATGACCACAGGCAAAAAGGAGGAGGAAATAGGTTTTAAGAGAGATATGATATAAGGAACAGGATGGCAAAGGTTCAAAGGGAGGGAGGATAAGGATGTGGAGAAAAACATTTAGGTCCCAGTCAGGACAAGGAAGATGAAAGAGGTAAAAGAAATGAATGTGCTTAGTGATTGATTGATTGATATATACATATATATACAAGATATCACAATTAAATTAAGTTGTTCATATGGATCATAATCAAACAGCTTCATACAACTGTAAGAAAATGATCAAAATACTAAAGGTTCCAAGAAAGTGATATGAATGGTGGATTTTTCTGGAGACCATTGACCTAAAATCTCCAAAGAGTTGAGACAATTACCCCATGTCATTAAGGCAGCATCTGTAAAAAAAGGCTATCACCCAAAGGACAAAAAAGCATGGTCGAGGAGGCCTATTGGGATGGAGCTAAAAGAAGCCAGTCATCATATAACAGTGGAGCCACAATTCCAAGTCGTGAATGTGACATACAAAAGTATGCACCACTTGGCAAAATACGTAAGGGGCCAGCACAAGGTTAAAAGGGAGAGCACAGAACTGATACACCCAAACTTGATGAGCAAACCAAAGGTAAAGTCTGGATGCAGAGAAGATGGGAATGTGAAAAAAAGCATCTGAGATGTCCACCTTGATCATCCAAAGCCCCAGAGCAAAAGACCACTGGAGGGTGAGAAAACTCTCCCTGATAAATCAAGGAAGATCGAAAAACCAACTGAGACATGAAAAATCAATGACTGGACACCGATCCCCAGTTTTCTTGGGAACAACAAACAGATGTGAATAAAATCCTCAATAAGGTCTGACACTGCCTCTAATAAACACTGGCAAGAAACAGGATACAATGGAACAATAGAGAAAAATGACAGAACTAGCAGCATCCAAACAATTGGCCCCAAATGGAAGCCAAAGATCCACAAAGCAAGCTAAGCAGGCCCCTACTGTCCCTAAGCCTAGAGGATAGTCACCACTGAGGCTGGCAGTGCTGAAGTTTATGAACAGAGGAAGAACAGATGGGAGTAGAGGAACAGGAGGGAGGGACAGAAACAGAAAATGATAGGGCACTAGGTAGAAATGGGTATACTCCACTAAAGACTCACTGATGGAGGAAAGGAGCTAGACAAAGTTCCCTGAAATGAGGGACACAAATGCACCTGAGCAAGAAGAATGTTCCTCTCCAGCAAATCCCAGCAACAGAGTAACCAACTAAGAAGTGACAAGGCCGAGGAAGTTGATAAGAAGATAATGGACAAGTATCTGCTGAAAACCCCTCAGAGAAATGGTGGATTACCTCTGAAAGAATGTGAATGGAGGAAAGATGGTGCAAAAGGGTAGTGAGGGTAATAAGAAGGCAGAAAAATTCAGCCTGAGAAAGTCAAAAAGAAGACAAAGGATATGAACCCCAAGTCTGAAGAAAATACTCCAGATTTGGGAGTCAAAGAAATGGAAATCAGCCCAGTGATAAGGTACGGCATATACGTCAACCAGGCAAAGAGGACGAGGCATGCTGGCACTGGAATGAAATTGGGATAAAAACTGTTCAGCATGAACATGAATATAAGGAGGAAGAGGAGGAAAACATAATAGCCAGGAAAAGGGGTCAAATAAAGAAGAGAATGTGAAGAATCATACAACACAGGAGATGGAGAAAGTATGTCACAAATCTGAGAAACCATACTTAAGAAGATTGTTTGTTTGTTTTTAATTAAGTACAAAGGTAAACAATGGGCTATCTGTGCTCTGCCCACCACAGGTATCGAAACCCGGATTCTAGCATTGTAAGTCCGCAGACATAACACTGTGCCGCACTTAAGAAGAAGGCCTAGGGAGATCAATGACAGTACTGGTAGAAGTATTGGCAAAGATAAGTAGTGGAAAAAGACTGTCAAAACACTCATCATCATGAACTGGATTCACAAGAGGAGGGATATCTACATCGGGCTTAGAAGGTCCAACTGGCATGAAAGACCCCATCTCCCATTGCACAATAGCTATTTCCTCCTCAACAGACAGAGATGAACCTGATGCCATTGCAGTTATTTGTCCAACATAAATAACATCTAGTTGTCCCATGACAAAGGAGAAGTAACAGTTACTTGAGATTCCATAATGTGGAAAAACAAAAGACCCACAAAATCTGCAAGTGCAGAACTATTTGGAAAATTAAATTTCAAAATTAAACTTTGCACAACAATTGTTCTGATATGTAGATATTTCTACAAGACAGTATGACCATTTCAATAATACTCATGAGGAAAAAAAAAAAAGACATGTACATGTGAGTACCAAATCGAGAAGTGATGAGTGAATAATCCATATAAAAGGAGTCTGCTGCACTAGGAAGTTGTGTCGACCTCCTCTTGGTAGAGAGTTGTCAGATGCTCATTTGCATGTAACAGTGCAGCAATATCATGTGGAAACACAAGAGTTTAGGTGGGAGCCTCAGAGCTAGCAGTGAGCAAAAAAAAGTTCACATACAGAGGGCAGCACTGAATCAAGAAAACTATATGCGAGAGAGGTTATGTAATGTATTAGAATTATAATTTTTCAAACAAAAGGTACAAGTCCTTTGTTTGATATTGATATCTATTTCTGGAACACAAACAATTTCACTTCATCTCAAGTCCTGTAACTTTTAAAACCAAACCATAAACTTCAAATTTCAAAGATGAAGGCAGGATGCTCTCTTTATGATAAGACAAAAATTAACTACACATTTGGATCTCAAAATTTGTAAATTCTTGTATAAGCCAGCAAATTGATTTGACTGGAAATGTTTAAGCATTATCATAGATTCTTTTTAGGTGTTTGGACAACTGATTAACCACAAAAATTGACCAATTTTCCTTTACTTTTGAGCATTCTAAAATATCAAGCAAAAGTACACCGATTTTCATGTGTGTAACACATTGGATAGGGTTTGAAACTTTTTGAATTTCACAAAAATTGGTCTACAGATAGAATTTTATTTATTGTTTAAAATTTTTAAGGCTTACTTTAGCCAAAAGTTTTATTTGTTTTATTGCCCTTCTCAATGTTCAAGAATAGCTTACCATTTATAAGTCAAGTTGAAATTTTTCATTTATGCATGTACAAGTTCAACACATGCTTTAACATAAGTAGTCAGTGCAATTACACAATGAGGATTCTCACATGTTAACTACATAAAAACTATTACCTGCCGCAAGCTCTCCAGTTCTTTGATTTCTTTATTATACGATTCAGGGTCTTCATGGTAATGATCTCGTATGAACTAACATAGAGATAAAAAACATTAGCAAAATACAATTGTCTTCTTCTAACATTATATTTGAAATATCACATATTAAAATTTATTAACATTACATGTTAATGCAATCAACTAAAAACATGCTAAAAACTCCAAGTGGATATAAAATTTATGACCTATAAATGTGTGTAAAGGATGGTAGGTAGAAGGTGCAAGCTAAAATGAACCACATAATTAGCCATTAATTTCTGAAGAGACTATAGCAAACTAAGTTCTTGATTGGAATAATACAAAATAATAGGATATGAGCTCCCCCCCACACACACACAAGAAAAAGATAAAAGAAGCCTTCTACATCCATTCTTATTTAAAAAGAGATGTTGAGTTCAGGGAATTCAGAGAACAGTTATCAGGATGATTATAGGTTTTGGAATGGTTATCACATTGGAGGGAGTTATCTTTTGATATACTTTAAATGGAGAGTAAAAGAGGTTGAGGAAATAAATGAGGTTTTTCAAGACTGACAGATTTGTAATCCATAAATCAAGAAGAAATAAAAAACTGCAGGAAGTAAGACTGTTAAATGTAAGTAAATCTCAGACGTAACTCAAGTTAACATATGGGTAACAAAAGATAATTTTGTTCGTCTTTCAAGGCTGTCCACCCAAGTAAAAAATTAAAACCAGAATTTATTTTTAATAAATTATAAATTCTTCTCTTAAACTCTTGTAAAGTGCCAGCCTCCATTGCTGCTCATGACATCATCTTTTAGAAAAATTGATGTCTTAACTGAGGCCTTACCTGCCTTTTATGGAATCTTAAACTTGCATCTTCTTTTCCTACTGTCTACAGAGTTCAGCCAAAGAAATTAGGCCTTTTTATACTTTATGTTAAATTTATGCTAAAATAGGTCTAAATTAAGATGACTCAAATGAATTACCTTGTACATACTAAAATTAAAAGTTATTTGCTAAGTATTTGTCTCGTTTACCAATCAATCCAAGTCCGTTTGTAGTACAGTCAGAAAAATGCTCAAAAAGTTTAATATCATCAGCACATTTTACTAACTGACTAATTATGCCCCTAACAATATCCTTAAAGTAAATAAGAAAACTAAAGGCCTAAGAGCTGACCCCTGATACACACCAACAAATTTCCACCAGCTATTGCTGAAATAATCTTCAACATTCACCACAACAAAACTCAACTCACGAACAAAATTGGTAGTAACAAACCCAACAACAGAACATTACACTGCAGTTTACCTTTTGTCCCTGAAACCAGCTCAAGAATAATCCACACTTGGATAACACTAGCCATTAAACACAAAATTTCTGTCAACGTCAAATTCTCTCAAAAACCTAGCCCTAAAGTAAAATTGTTACTAAACAAAAATTATTTAGAATCACACAATACCAATGTCATTTACAAAATAACATGCAACAACTGCCCAGATTTATTCTACATTGGAGAAACAGGAAAAAAATTGGAAAC